GTATCACATCACTTTCTGAAATATTATACTGGTTGAACATTGATATCAAATTCGAACGAATTAAATTTATTTATTCATTCGCATTCTGATTTTAGTTTTCAGATTTTGTTTCAAAAAAGTATCTGTCTAGAACATCAATTACAATGATGAACAATGTATCAATGGTGTCTGGCCAACCAAGTGCAGGAGATGCTATGAGTAATGGCAACAACTACAATCATTCATTTCCAGCTTTGCCAGTTTTGAAGACTTCGGAGACAATTGGGACTGCACAATTTAAAAAACGGAGTAATTTTAAATCTTCAACGGTGAACGAAGTAATTTATCATGCCATTTTAATAATAACTAATAAGTATTAGATCGATCAGTCTGATATTGATTTGTAACACGGTCGCATGTCAGTGCGATTATAATTTGCCCGTTCCGTTACCGCAATTTTATTTAAGTTACTTTATTAGTTTATTTAAGTTAAGTTAGTTAGTTCAGTTTACGGTATTATACGAGTATCCACGGTATTATATATCGTATTTATGCTACTTCACTTTCAAGATGGACAACACACCCTCTCCGCTTACTACCAAACCCAAACGGTCGCTGCTATCATAGCATAATTCTACAGGGAAAAACACTAAACCATTAGTCTCGCCTAATCGTTTCGCTGTCTTTTCGAGCGAAGTGGACAAAGAAATCAAACTTGACACCTCCTATGACGTACATAATATAACCAAAGAATCTGTTGTTTACCATCAATATAAAAACATCAGGTCACTATATATATATCAGATGCTCTATTGAAATTAGATTCCCGCAAAAGAATTACGAATGTTATTCAAAATGGCCATACGCTTCCGCTGTTCATTGTTGCAATTAATCCAAATACAATTTTTAATGAATCATCAATGTTGCACATTAAAATTTAAGTCCAATTACCCAATAAGACTTATAGTGATTCACCTCAATGTCTAAAATGACATAGCTACGGTTACAATGTTAACTATTACCATCACCATATCGGAAATAATGGTGATCCTTCATCCTTCACGCTGTGTTAAACGCAGCAGAAATCACTCCTGAAACATTTACATCAAAAAGAAAGGCAGTTTAACCAAGTGCGACTTTCGCGTGGGTAATCATACTTCCAATTATAAAGGTTGTCCTAAACATAAATTATTTCTTAAACATCGCAAAACAACCCACTTGTAATCATCAAAATAAAAATATTGTTCTCACGTCTTCTCTTATCAAACTTTTTTCCAAAGCTTCTTGCGCCTCCATCACTGGTTCTAATAATATCCTATTACCAAATAGCCCTATGGACGATATACCGTTTTCCAATTTATCTCAGACCTTCTGGCATTAATAAATCTTATATTTACCCTTCTTTTATAATTACAGCTCTTCTACGCAATCACCTTACTCCTAAGCCCAAATTCTTTTCTACTTTATTCATTTAAATGATCAATCAAAATTAACTCTTATTTCATAATTATCTCAAATTATTGTATTTTACTAATATTATTTTATAATAATGATTATTGTATATTAATGTTAAAATACATACTTAGTTATCTTACATGATTTAATTGTTGAGCCATAATAACTTTGTGTCAAAATTTAAATAAAAAATAAAAAATAACATAAAAATTATAGAACGATAATTTACATATTAAAGAACATCATTATTATGATTTTAAATAACATTTTTCAGTATGAATAGTAATAGTTTAGAAAGTTTTTGTTGATTTATATCTAAAATATAAATAAAAAAATATCTTAATTTTTATTTTGTAAAATTTGTAGATAATTACTATACCTGCCCAAGACAGACATTGGGACAGGAATAGTCAATTAGAGAATAAAAAATGTAAGGAAGCATATATGAAAATTGGGAAAGAGTGTAATGTAGGAATAGAGATTTGTGTTTCAAAAACCATGGATCTGACTTTACAAATCAGCGGCAATAGAGTAAATGTTGAACGAGCAAAACAAAAAATTAACACATTCGAACAAACTCAAGTAAATAAGTTTTAATTAAGTTGGAATTAATAAGATAAACTGATAAAAATAATATGTATTATATATATATTTATATTGTTGTGTACAAATTATGAATAATTTATTATTATTATTATTATTATTATTATTATTATTTTTTAATATTATAATATATAAATGTGCATAATAATTTAAAATGCTTAATGAATCATTTGTTATTTTATAGTTTTATTACGGATAAATAAATAAAAAAATATTTTTTTAGCAATTTTAACTAAAACATTAAATTTTAGATTAAAACTACTACTACACCGTTTCCAAAAGAACATCGAAGTACGTTATTGGGCAAACAAGGACTTAATCTTAAGAATATTGAAAAACGTACAGGAGCACGTCTTCAAATACCGTGTATGAAAAATTCGGCTGACATAATTTATATAACTGGAACAAAGGATTCCACGAAAAAAGTAGTTCAAGTATGTATCAAAAATATGTTTTAATTAATCGGAATTTAAGTTTAACACATTAAAGTAAATTAATTTTCGAAAAGAAATGCTAGAATGAATAGCTTGGAGAAAAATTGACAAAATAGATAATGCATAAAATACATAAAGTGGTTATTTGTGACCGTACTAGTTTATTTATTTTATTAATAAAATTATAATTAAATCTTTTAATAAATATTTAAAAATTTCACGATTTCTAAATTAAAATGCCGATAATTTTTACTATACTTTTATAGTAAAAATAAATTAATGAAGATTTTAATATTGAATTTTGATATAACAATATACGAATACAATGAACTTTAAATTTTAATATTACTTATAGGTTTAAAAGTTTTTAAAAGGTTTCTGATATGTTTGTTTTTTAGAAAAAAATTTACAAGTATTATGTATTAACGAAATCGGGTATTTTAATAAATTTCCATCAAATAGTTTCTTTCGTAATTTTTTAATAATTAAAATTTTTGTTAGGAATTGGAGGAAATTATAATTAAGTTGAAAAGTAAAACTGAAAAAGAAATAAAAATTGATCAACGTCACCATGGAGCGATAATTGGATTCAATGGTGAAAAAGTTCGAGAACTTCAGAAAATATTTAATGTTAAAATTATATTCCCCAGTCCAGGTAATTAAAAGTATTAATAGTATTAATATGTTTGTATTTTTTGTATTTTGAGAGTTTATAAATAATATTTGGTTTGATATTTTAGTTGAGGCTAGAAATAATTTAGTTAAAATACAAGGTTTGAACGATGATGTAAATAAAGCATTTAAATCATTAGCTGAATTGGCCGAAGTATTGGATGAAATCAACTATGTGTTGGAAATTCCTATTTTTAAGCAATTTCAAAAACTTAGTACTGGAAAGAGAGCAATATTTATTAAAAAGGTTATTATTATTTATTAACTTTTGTGATTCGACCTTTAGAAATATTGTTATTTACATAATTTAATATTCTAGATTAGAGAAGAGACTGATACGAGAATTTTTTTACCACGCGAAGGAGACAATAAGAATGTTATTAAAGTCATGGGAAATAAAAGAAAAGTTTTAATTGCTTATGATATGATTAAAGAAATACAAAATGAAATTGTTGGTTTTTTATAAAGATTATTTATTTTTCAATTTTATTTTTAATTTATCAATCATGTATTTTTAGGGAGACATAATAACAAAAGAAATGGTGTTGGGAAATGTTAAAGTTAGAAATGCCATTGTAAATCTTGGGAATAAATTCATTCAATCTATAAAAGAAGATTGTGGGGATAATGTGACATTGAATTTACCAACTGTTAAAGGAGATAATGTAAGAATATACTTATTTATTGAAATTATAAATTAAAATGACAATTTAACCAATTGTATAAGTTATTATATGCGTGATATACGCTTAGACATCGATTCGAACCTGGCCTCTGGCAGTTTCTCTCTTTGAGCAGGAAACGATTGTCTCAAGAGATGAAACTGTTTCTCCTCCCCTAATACAATAAGTAAATTTTCAAGAAAATTTCCCAAATGCTAAAATCTATTAAAAAAAATAACAAACCGTTATTTTAAAGCTAAACTTTTATTCATAGACTATAGTTATCAAAGGACCTGAAGATGATGTTAAAAATGTTATTACACAAATTCAGACGATGGTTGATGAAGTTCATAAATATGTGTTTGATATGAATGTAAATCCGAAGTTTCACAAATATTTAATTGGAACAAATGGAGTCAATGTTAAAGAGGTATGTTGTTAAAATAATTTAATATATGGGTACAATGTGTTCATTTATGGTTTAATACTTGGATTCCAGATCAGACATTTAACGAATACAAGAATAATTTTCCCGCCTGAAACTGATTCCACTAATGAAAATATAACTATTGTTGGTAAAAAAAGAGAATGTTAATATAGCAAAAGCAAAATTTGAAGTTATGATAACCGATATTGGTAAAGTCATCGAAGAACATGTAGAAATCAATGAAAAGAATCATGGCACTTTAGTTGTCAAACAAAAAGAATGTATACACGAATTGAAAAATGAATGTGGCTATGTTAAAATTGAATTTCCTAATCTTGGTGCTGGAGATAGAATTGTGATCAGTGATAGTAAAGCAAATGTTGCTCTTTCTAAACAAAGACTTTCAGACCATGCTAAAGTTTTGGTATGTATAATTCAATACAAATGCACGTGTATTAAACTAACCTGTCTATTTTTTATTGAAATTGTATTGAGATTATATTTACATAATTGCTCATAGTTTTCTTTACAATAATGAACTATTGATATATAAGTCATATAAAATGAAACAATTTAAGATAAAAAATTAAAATAATCATTGATGTACTTAAACATAACTAAATAATTTAACAATTTTTTTTTAACCTTTTAATTTATTTAAATAATAGATATACCAGAATCATAATCAATAATAATAATTATAATCTCGTAATACATTAAAATTTTATAGAAAAACATAATTGAAGTGACTATGAACGTTCCTCCAAAATATCATGACCATTTTGTTGCCCACCACTCTGAAGTAATAAACCAGATAAGTGGGAAACATAATGGAGTTACTATTAAATTTCCACAAGCTAGTTCCAATTCAAGTCAAGTTTTGATTAAAGGCCACAAGGATTATGTTGAAAAAGTTAAAAATGAAATCAATAATATTATTATTGACTTGGTAAGTTGTATACCAACACTTATTGTTTTATCGTTAAATTATTAATCAATAATCGTGTTACACAGCGGCGTAGCAGTGGTGCAGTAGATGCGATGCACCGAGGCCTTCGTGATTTGGGGCCCTCAATTCAAAAGAAAACTAATATGAAAAAAAATAGAAGCTTACATTAACTACAACCAATTGTTTGTTTTGATTTTTGTCAGAAATAAATTATAAAAACATTTTTTTTTTTTTCAAAATCTTATCAATGTCTTTTATTGTTAGATTAGTCAAAATAATTAAGCTAATAAATTGATATGTAATTATAATGAAATAAAATATATTATATACGATAAATTTAATATAAAAATTACTATATGAACAAACTTATTGTTAATTGTTGATTATGTTTTTTTAATATTTTGGGTTTGGCCCCCTCCACCCCTCCATTTTAAAATCCTGGCTACGCTACTGAAAGATAATATTCTTTATTACATAAAATGAACTAAACTATAGTCATTAATATTTTTATTCCATATTAATTGATGTAAAAAAATAGAGGAGGATTATTAAAGAGTTCTAATAGTATTTTTAAATTACATAAATATTTTGGGAATTTGTTAATTAAACTGACCTGCTATTTTACTTCTATCTGGTTCATCTGTAAAAATAATAATCCCAGCCAAGAATGATTGTTATAATTTCAATATTCTATAAAATATGACGTGCTCCAATAATTTCTTTTTACAAAATCTTAGATTATGTTTAGTAATAAGTAATAGTAATCTGTAAAAATATTTATAAATGCAATTACATCATGTTGCTAAAGCAAAAACTTCAAATATTGTTAATAAACGACATCAATTAACCAAATTAGTTGTATTTTATAATTTGTATGTTTTAATTTTAAACTAATATGATAAAAATATTTATTTCGTGAATAATGAAGTATTCGTTTTTTCCTCTTAATTATATTTAACTTTTATGTCTTCTAGTTTATTTAAATTTTCTTATTGAAGAAATAGTAAGAATAGTAATCAGCAAGTATTTAATATTTTTTTGCCGACCGAAAACCTGGTGGAGTATGATAAGAGCACTTCCGCCAGATTTCATCATTCTCGATGATAAATTCGATGAGTTATACGATGAGTTTATCAAGTTAGTATAGAAGTCTATGTATTAAAGTTACGTAATAATATTATTTTACCCGTTCACCGCCGAGCAACATACGATAACGAGTTACGATATCGGCTAGATCGAACGGTCAGGGATTTTTACATTTTATCATGTATGATCTTCCGGTACTATTAGAGAATGTACTATTGGAAGAACATGAATCAATGTGATTTATGTTAGATGGTGCACCTCCTCATCATACAAATGTAGTCCAACAACAATAACATTATCTTTTCCTTGCCAAATTATAGGTAGAGGAGCTGGAAACAATGCTCAATATAGCCCAGACATAACATGGCCACCATGCAGTTCTTATTTTAACTCATAACCCATTTTTTCTTATGGGGTTTTATGAACGAACAAGTTTATGCTAAAAAAGTAAATAATTGAGATGAACTTTTGATGAGAATTAATAATGTAGCTGATATCATTCGTCAAATGAATTGGAAAAAACTTGGAGTTCATTACATCGTCGTCTAGAAAAGTGCATATAAGTTAACGAGGGTCACATATAACAACTTTTGTAAATAAAAATTGATTTTAAAATTAAAATGTATTTAATTATGATTTTTTTACAATGTTAAAGCTGTTTTAATTACTTATGTGTGTTAACTGACAACAAACTACTATCACCACTGTTTATTGTGAAGTGTTCTCATACGAATCGATGTGTCGCACGACTTTTTTTTAGTCGGCGACTCGAGCGTGAAAAACACGCGACAAGTCGAAAAACAGTGTGACGTCTCGATTTATATAAGAATTTTGATAAATTTTCCTAAAAATAAATTGAGTAAACCAAGATTTTAGAGGTTGAAAAAAATTTCAAAAAAATCTACTTTGGGCCATCACAGCGGGTACGTGTATACTAGTGTCCTAATCCATTCCAAAAACACTCTGTATATTTAAATCAAAGTAATAAAATTATGTTAAATAATCGTTATTTGAGATATGCCATTTAGTTTTATATAAGTATGGGTTTGAAATTCGGTAAGAAATTTACTAATAATATGAACATGAACGTATCTAATTATATTACAGTGTATAGCAGTGGCGTATCCAGGATTCATTTAACGGGGGTGTTTAATAGACTATCCATATTTAATAGACTAGTAGTAAGTGGAGGTTCTGTCCCCCGCGTATACATTTATAAATACTATGTACGATATTTATATAAATTATTATATTAATGAAAATGATTTCACATATTCTTACGTTTATTTAAATTATACCGTAACAAAGTTTGCAATTTGGTGAAATACCATAAAATACGGTCGATGGTGGGGGTGTTCCAACACCCATATCACTTCCCTCCTAAATACGCCCCTGGTGTATAGCTTCATTATCTTGACGCAGCACGGTAGCTGTACGGAGGGCTCTTGCACGCACTCGCACGCACAGGTCAGGCCGTAATATTGTGATCGCGAAAAAAGTTTATTTTCCACTCTAACATACGATTTTAATTCAACCAATACGCCGCAACGATTATCTCGATTTGTATTCTGAAAAAAACATTCTTTTTTTCCACAACATGTACGAGGGATCAATCGAGGCACATTTTAAAAATTGTATTTAGTTAATTAAATATTTAAGTTTGAAATTCTGTATTTTTTTTTAATTTTCAACAATATTTATTGCAATTCAAATTACAAAAATTGAAAATGTGGCTCGATCGTTCCCTTGTACATATTATGGAGAATCCGTATATTTTTTCAGAATGAAAATCGTGATAATTATCGACACGTAGCTCTGGAATTAGGAACAGTAGTTATTGTTAAAAAAAAGACGTGGTGGTGAGGCCCCCCAAGGGGGTTGGAATTGGATCTTTTTTAAGGGGTTGAATATAGATAATACCTCATACACGTTATGTTATGCCTTTGAGTGTTAGCGTTTGTAAACGATTATTAGTGTGTGTTTGACTTCCCCGAAATAATACGCTCCGACCTTATCAGCAAACGGACTGTCATTAGTCTTTACCGTCGTCGTTTATACGCCGCAAATCATGTAATATTATTCAATATTATTATTATTATTATTTATCAATTCATAATAAGTATAACGCATTTGCAATTCGAGTGCGAGAATCATCGGTTGCCAAATTTTATAAAAAAAAAAAGTTTTAGAATGAATATTCATAACATCTAATTATTAATTAATTCTAGATGTATTAGAAATAAAATAAAAAGCTAAAGGTGCTATAATCATAACAAATAAATTCGTAAATTTTATGATAATTATATTTATATCATTTATCACAATAACTATTAATAATAATTATTATACTACAACTATTGTAGTATTAAACTTTTTTTTCGGGAATGCCTGGCCTTATTGGTAATCCTCGATCAAACCTAGAATCGATTATTTCTGGAAGTAATGAGTCCATATAAAA